GAAGATGGGGTGTGATTCCCCGGTTGTTCCTCCGACAATCTAGTCAGTGGGTGGCTTGTGTGGAGAAGTAAAAGGAACTGTAGTAGTTCTTAAGTTCAGAGAATGGTGAAAAAAAGCTTACCTTGTAATGAAAAATAGTATCTCCTTTTGTAGTAGTGGAAGGAAGATGGGATGGTAACTTTGGCCGGACATGAGTTGACGGCCAAGTTAGCTTCAGTTTTACAGGTGTCGACCGAGGAATGGAGGAGATGTCACTTCGGTTTATGTGAAGTGATGTGGTGCGTGCGGTGCTGACGTGGTCCGATGTGTCATAAATAATATTGGAGGCAGAGGAATGATAGCGCATATAATGCATTTAATGACATTTATGGCGAGGTAATTAGTCATCAGTGCACAGGAGGGGCTCGAGGCTCGAGGTGTTGTTTGTTGGAAATTTGCAGTACAAAGACAATGAAATAAAAATTGACTTGTATTCCTCTCAAAATCAATTACAATTTGGATTCCGATTACAAAAGAGAGGAGCATGAATTTGATTCTCCCCTTTGTTTAATTCTGGGTTCTTCACGGTGGCGATGAGATGCCTCCCTCGAATGCTCGCGTCGAGTTTGCTTCTCGTTGACGATCCGAACGTCTTGATTCACTGGAACGTGGTCTTCTCCTCACGATTTAACGCTGTGGAGAACTTGCAAAGCAAGTTTGAAAATAACTCTTAACGAGTTGATAACTCTGAACGAGTTTTAGAAGAACTTGCAGAGCAAGTTTTGAACTCTGATCGAGTTGATAACTCTGGACGAGTTTGAACTCTTGAAAAAGAGTTGATTTAAACCGAAAGTTCGGTTAATCAGCCAAGGGAATGCTCCTGTTGTCGATCTCCAAAATCCCAGCCGAAGGATGAAGGCTCTTCTTCTTTGCTACCAAGCTTGTTCTTGACCGAATCTCTCTCTGTTGATGAGAAAAAATTCGATCCCTCAACTCAATTGAGTTTCTGGTATTTATAGGGGGTTACGGGTGGTAACCGCCCCCTTAATTTACTCCTCAATGGGCTGAGTGGGGTGTAACCGCCCCCCTCTTAAACAGCTCCCCAAATAGTGGGGAAAACGGTTTTGAAACCGTTTTGTTAGTGCTTTGAACGAGTCAAAACGCTGAAAACAGCGTTCTGGGCCCGAACTGTGCGTTTCTGGACCTGAAACGCAGAGTTAGGCCTGAAAACGCACAGTTGGGCCTGTTTAAAGGCTGAAAACGCACAGTTCGTGCTGTT